GGGAGAGGGAAGGGGTGGCAGGCAAAGGGGCCACCTGGGCGGCAAGGTGGTCGCCCAGGTTAGGGCAGCGGGCGGTGGCGGCAAAAGGCAAGTGGGGGGAAGGAGACCGGCAGTGCAGGTAGGCAACTGGGCCCCGGAGCTTGCAGAGCCTCACTCCCCCAGGGAGATCAGGCAGGGCCACAGCGGAAGGCAGGCAGCAATAGCTGGCCTGGCGGGTGGGCAAAAGCAGGCTGCAGGTGATGCTGTGGAGGTGCGACAAGGACTGACTGGGTGGGGAGGGGAGGGGAGGGGTGGGTGGAGAGGGGAGGGGCCAGCCAGTGGTGCAATTGGCCAGTTCTCTGAACTGTGCAGAATCATAACAACTGGTTCTATAGAACTGGACAGAACTGGTAGAATCCCACCCCTGGTTCTTGGACTAGAACTGCCATCACTCCTCTTCATGTTGTTGGCTAGAACTGATGAACCGAAATTCAACATCTGGATCACATGGTCCCCTTCTCTCCCTCTTCCCCTTCAAACTCAGAAAGCTGAACTTATAAACTCATAGTTGATTCTACGATAATGAAATACCGCAAAATGCTACCAAATAAAGCACTGGAGGTACTATTCCCATGTTACAGGCATTATTATTTTGTAGAAGACTCCTGTGTTCCTCTAGTTAGGAGAGAGTCCTTCTGGACATCTTGTTGAAGAGTTTAATACTGAACTACTGTCATTATCATTTCAACCTTTTTTTTTTGCATTTTTATATAATGATAGCCAGTATAAATATATGTATGTATTTGTACATCTGTCTTTGATGATTGTGTTTGAAAATGAAAGGACTTACAAAGCAGTATTTTTCCTGTTTTTTCACATAAAAAAATTATTCAGTGACCCTTCTAGATATTTATAAGAACTGATATAATGTACAATTATTTTAAGTCTTTAGAAGATATTACAAGACTATAGTATACTTCTATACTCTGTATAGTATACAACTATATGTAATAAACAAGAAATATTTGAATAAATGATGTCAGAAATGCAAGTTAGTCTTTTTTATGTAAACAAACTACAACAACAAATAATGAAGTATAATGTAGACTTTTATCTCTTGCTAACTTATTACATTTCTATAGATAACAGAATTCCCTGCTTAACAGAGAAGTAAAAGATTCCATTCTGTCCTTCAGCAATATTAATATAATCACAACAATAATAAGCAAGGTAGTATCAATAGTAATTAGGTGCTTTGGGTTCAATCCCAAAACAACTGGAGCACCAGTTGTATCAACAGCTCCTGGGGCAGTCTGAACTTCCTGAGTTGATGTAGGAAACACATTCTTTGGTATGCCTTTTTAATGATGGTTCTAATGTTGGGTGTCCATTTCAAATCCTGGAAGATTATAAAATCCAAAAACTTGAAGGACATTATGTAAATTTATTCATCAGTAATCTCAATAAATTTTCCTTCTCCATCTGCAATCTGTAAGATACTGTGTTGCAAGCATTTTTTGGCCTTCATACAATACAAACTTCAAATAATAGAATGCAGTAGCAGGAAAAGGCATTCATTTCTATTCTGTACTAAGATTATATCAGCCACATCTTTGTACACGAGGGGCCATCTCCACCCAACTGCAAACAAATGCAATTAATGAGATTTATGTGTATTCAGAAGAAATTCCCTAGAGATGAGTCATTGGGTTTTTAAAGGGTGTCCAGGGATATGTCAAGCAGACATTGCGTGTAAATCAATGACACACCTTGTGTTAGGGAACACACGCTGTAGCCTGCAGGTCTGTTCCCTCTAAGACATAGCACAATAGAATGGCTGGTTGATGGACATTCCCAAAGAGTCTCCTATGAATAAATACACATACACTTGGAACAACATCAGGAAGAGAGTTTCTATTTATTTTTTCTGTGTAAAACAAAGAGAATTTGGGGAGGAGCTGTTTCACCTTCTTGAAACAAGGACTTGGGCTTAACGGGTGATGGGAAGACACTGTTCTACCTATTCTATGTAGGCAAACTATCCCCTTTCTTTGATTTGGTTATTCCACTGATTTATTAAATTACAAAGGCACCTAGACCTATTTTCTGCTACTTTTTATATACAGAAAAAAATCCAAGTAATATGTTTTCTTATATCTCAGCTGCCTTAGAGAGGCGGGGAGACTTTAGCAAAGTTTAGTTCTAATTTTTAAAACAATTTAGACTTAGTATTATCAGGAATCCCAATTTAAAACACACTCTAAACCAATGTCTTTACCACTTGTTTAAAGTTGGCTAGTTTCACAGCTAAAGCTAAAAGATTATGCAGATCATAATCTAATAGTTATTTTCTTCTATTTACCTAGGAAGACATGAATATACTTTTTTTTTCTTACAGTGCAATCAGGTCTATGATACCTGGGCTGCAAAACTCCAGATGGCAGCACAAAATGACAGCAAAAAGATTTTTAACCCCCTTAATGCTTGGCTGTCATCATGGAATTCACTAAAGATTGAACACCCAGGTAGCTTTATGTGTGCTGGGCTTTGCTAGACTTCAACCTTCTGACAAAACAATTCAGAAAAGTCAGTTCATCCAATGATTCTTTTAGGTTTCACACTGTCATACTTATCTTCCTGGTGAATCCCAAAGACTGATTGCTAAAAGGTAGAATTTTTAATTCCAATTAAATTGCTTAAGGTTTTAATACACATGTTAACTATTAACCCTGAATAGAAATAATAGAAGTAAACCAATACACCTTCCTGAGAATTCCCTCATATTTAGGTGTCACAAAGCTATGATGGTTAATTTTCTGCTCTCTTTCTTGATGCCAATTTTGCACACATCTGGTCAAATATTATTATCCAAAATTTTTAGCAGAAACAAAAATGGTTGTTTATAACAAATAGTGGAATGAGACATCTTGTCAGTAGGTACCATGAAACATGACACTTATGTATTTTCTTCATGTAAAGAAAAGTAAAACTATGGTTATCAGCTTGTTCATATTAAAGGATTCAAATAGCTTTCCAAAGTGCAGGGCAATTGGGAAAACATGTTCCCCTTTGTTATGGCTCACTAATGATCATTGTTTTTAACCTCTTTTCTTATTATTTGTGTAAGCTATTGATTTTGGAGCATCTCGTTTTACTTTCCTGGGGGAAGCAGAAAATGATAAAGGCAGGTTACTATCCTTTTTACCTTTCAACCTAAATCTCAATTACTACCAATTATTAAGAATCATTAATATTAAAAAGAAGCAACAAGACAGAAATGCAATTCTCTCATTTAGTTAGTTCAACATGGAAAAGGTTGAAGAATAAATTATGGACATTTGCAAGCAGATGATTCTTCCTAACATTAGAAGTGAAATCTAAGAGAAATTGTGTCTCAGAAGTGAAGATCAATCTTGTCCCCAAAGAGCAGGTAAAGTGAAAAGGCAATCTACATAGAATTCGTTGTGAGGAATTCATTCTTCATGCTTCATGCTAGCTTAATAAAAAATAACCTCAGGGGAAGAAGATAAAAGATACACAGTAAAGTCTGACCTGAATTTGTTTTCATAATGCTTTTCATATTATGCTGAACAAATCCTCCATTAATAAATACTGCAGGTTCAGTAAACTTTAGAGTTGAAGCCTCTTGATGTCTTTACTTCTCCAGAACTCTGTCTACTTCCTCAGGATCCAGGCTAAACTATTCCCAGATATCACCTCCTGACTTTACCCTCAGCCCCACTCACTAATGTTATCTGTAAAGTGCTCTGCTAACAGCTCACACAATTCTTCTGATTGATCTTTCCCTAAAACAATAAAAAGTCATTGTAAAAGGGGTAGCTGGAAGACACTCTTCAGTTTGCTGCTGTTGTCATGAAAGTGTAGATCCAAGCTTGAGGTTGTCCCCATGTCTAGATGGAATTTTTTCTCATCTTTTGCCAACATTGGTCTAGGCAACTCCTCTAGTGCTTTGACTCTTGGACAGCTCCTTAAATAATCAAGGAGGCCCCAGGATTGGCATGGAAGGAGAGTTGTTGTAAGTGTTTTTTTTATCAGATGCAAGATTTTGTATGGTTATTATTTTATGCGAAACATTGATTTTTAACATTCTTAAAGCATGTACGGTATATGCATATTGATTAATACATCCGTGTAGTCATATCTTTTCCCCAAAGGACTTGAGAAAATATAGCTTTGTTTAGGTTCTCCAATAAAAATTATTCACATGCCTACAAAACTGCAGTCTTCAGTTTTGTTCTTGGAAAGCCTGTTAAAAATTATTAGAAAGCAATTTGAATCTATTCAAGATATAACTGAATTAGTAATAGTCAAGTGAAGGGAATGCAGCATAGCCAACCGTGTTAAACGTCTTATTTAATTTTTTAAGTCCTGTTTTTCTTACTGTTTTTGTCACAGCTATTCGGGAAATATAACCTGCAGGCAGTTATGTGAAACAAACTATGTTATTTGCATGAATCCTTAGAAGTGCAATGAATCAGGAACTGCTGAACCTGCTTGTATACTTTATAAAAAAAACTAATAATTTTATAATATCATTTTGTTTTATAACAAGAAGCCTGCAGGATCAAGCCAAGGGCAATTCATCAATTTATTTCCAAATAGCAATAGCACTTAGACTTATATACCACTTTACAGTGCTTTACAGCCCTCCCTAAGTGGTTTACAGAGTCAGCATATTGCCCCCAACAATGTGGGTCCTCATCTTACCCACCTCGGAAAAATGGAAGGCTGAGTCAACCTTGAGCCTGGTGAGATTTGAACTGCCAAATTGTAGGCAGCCGGCAGTCAACAGAAATAGCCTGCAGTAGTGCATTCGAACCACTGCCCCACCTTGCCCCAAAATAGGCCGTTCATCCCTGGTAGGCCCAAATGAAGAATATGAAGATAAGATATCCTTTGTCTCCTAGAATTCAAAGGTTTTTTAACTTCTGAATATAGATTAAGCTATGTAGCTTAATGTGGGTATATAGGCAATAAGTTCTAAACCCCAAAATCCTTACCTCTTTGATGGCAGACATCCTGATGTTTTCATAGTAATGCAGTGGTGCATTGGGAGAGTTCATGTCATAACCAAATCCAGCCACAGCTACTTCATCACAATTGTGGAGCACCATGGTAATTGCTACACTTCCCAGAGTAGGAATATTCTGTGGAGGAGAGGGGAATGAAGCAAAACACAAACAATTAAGATTTTGCCTTCTTAAGTGCTAATCTGTGAACAGATCCCAGGTGGGAAATGCAGTGGGACTACTACATCTAGAGATAATAGTTTGAGGAACCAGTCTAAAGCTCTATTCCAACACAGTGCTAAAATGAATTACGTACCAGAATATGAAGTTAAGATTTCATGGTGATCAACAATAGGATAGGAATGCAATGTAGAATGCAGAGGGAGAAAGAGGAAAAGGAAAGACATCAACTGTAATAGCTATAGAAAAAAAAAAGGGTTAATACATAATTTATGTTTATGTTTTGTTTTTTTCTTTTTATGCACATTTTTGTGTAGTCTTGTCTAGTTTGGTTCTGCTTTTATATTACTTTTTCTTTTTTTCTTTTTCCTTCTTTTGGGGTTTGTTTTTTTAACATTTTGAATAAAACAAAATTTGAAAATGAAACAAAAAAGTGAGGTATCACTGAATAGTTCCATAATTATCCAAGTCAAAGTTCAAAAATCACATTTCTGATGAGTGCTGACTAGCTTACAACTGTTTTGGAGCAACTGAGATCAGTCAGACTAGAAAAGCAGGATTTCTAAATTCAGTATTCTGTAGTAAATGATCATTTTATGTATTTTCAAGCAGAATGAATTATACATATTCAAGGACGTGAACACATATAATTCAAAACTTAACTAACTGTGGTATATAATGTGAAATGACAATTTACTGGTATAGGTAGTCCTTGACTTACAACCACAATTGAGCCCAAAATTTATGCTGTTAAGTGAGTTTTTGTCCCATTTTACAACCTTTCTAGACACAGTTGTTAAGTGAATCATTGCAATTGTTAAGATAGTAACACAGTTGTTAAATGAATCTGACTTTCTCATTGACTTTGCTTGTCAGAAGGTTGCAAAAGCTGTTCATGTGACCCCAGGACACTGCAACTGTCATAAATCAGGTGCTAAGCATCTGAATTTTGATCACATGACCATGGGGATGCTGCAGTGGTTGTAAGTGTGAAAAATGGTCATAATTTTTATCAGTGCAGTCAAATGAACTGTTATAAGTTGAGGACTACCTTACATTTTTCTGATGTTACTATTGACACAACCTTAACCAACCTGCCAAATCAATGGAGGTCAATTGTAAAATTTCTTGACAATGGCCATGGTGGCTGGAAAGTTCTGGGATTGAATTTGTATGTGTGAAAGGCACTATAGGTATTAAGAGCATTATAAAGTTTAGGGTAAAATTTTTTCCCAGCAGAACCAGAAAAGTTCTATCTTTTGCTTGTCTCCTTTCCTACTGCCTAATGGGCTGAGATTGTGGTGCTATCATCTGCTTTAGGGAGTGATTCCTTGCAGGATCACTTTATAATGCTGCTGCACACAAATCACAATTAAAAAAACCTATAGCAGACAGTATACATACGCTAGCCAAGGTACACTGCAGCATCTAATTGACTTTGGTTGATCACAAAACCTAAGGAATGCATAAACTGTCTACTACTTGGATGAGGGATTAACAGGAAACATCAGGACTGTAGGTTAATCTGGGAAGTACAAACAAATATAGCAGAAGGAGATTATGACATACAACTTTTTTGCTATTCAAAAAAGTACACAGATGTTTTCATTCCATGAAGTCACATGGAGTCAAGCTTAGCTCCAAGAAGATTTTATGCATGCATACACCCATACTTACTTTTAACCCCCATTCCTCATGTTACTTATTAGGAGTTAATTTTGTCTAAGATGAAGCAGATAGGGTTCAATAAGGAAAAGATCAGTTGTTTCAGAACAGTGAAAATTCCAGGCACTGGATCCTAATACTGGGTGGACAATCCTAGACTTCAGTTAAACAGGTTTATCTCCTTGTGTCTTCGAAAGAAGAATACTTCTAGCAACAACACTGCTGCTCCTTCATTGCCTTGCCAATTTTATAAGCTCCTGAGGTCATTTCTATGTCATTATCTCTGACTGGCAGGAGATATCAATATAATTAAAATGCATTTCTGAAGAAAAACTTCTCATATCTACTTTGTCTATAAATTTTAGTTGTTTTTATTTCACATGGGAGATAGGATAATACTGGTTGTTCAAGAGAATATTAATGACAAGCAATTTCTTCAGCGGAGTACTTCTTTTTGAACTTTCAAGAAAAATCTTTGCAATTTGCCTTGTTAAAATTAACTAACTAAATCTGGCTAACAGCAAAAGGTTATCATAAACACTCTTTACTGAACATTAATTTCAGTCCCTATCTCATATCTCTAACACTTTATGGTTACTATAAATATAATCATGGAACAGAATGTAAACTATCAGTCTCACCACCCCCATAGACATATAGATACATCACACTATTTATGTAATAAAACAGGTTTTATAAGCAGTCCTTGTCACTCATGTTCAATCTCCTTCCAGAGATACCTCAGCAATCACCCATTTAAAAATAAAAAGTGAATTTATAACACACTATCCAACAATCGTGTTTCTTTTTCAAATAATTTTGCAGATATTAATTCAGGAATCTGGTCTGTAAAATTTGTCACTAAGATACTTTAAAGAAAGTATAGCAATTATTTCCAAATATTTTCAATGCCAACTTTCTGTTGGTGAAATCAGAAACACTATTAATGTGCCATTAAAATAAATTGAGGTATATACCACATTTACATTATTTTTGGCACTGCTATGGAGAGGCAGTACTTTATCTGAATGTTCCTGCTGGGCAGATCTTTCCAGCAAGGACTAGTTTATTAAAATAAATCTCAGTCCACCAATATACCATTAGCACAGTTCTTTTAATATATTTGAAAGAAAACCAAAGATGTTTCCTCCTATTCCTCAAATATTTAGCAATCATTAATTCTAGTAGGGTAGCAGAGTTTTTTTAACTATCATACTAAGTTAAGGAGCAATTATTTGTGTATTTACTTTTTAGTCTGAGTAGCTAGATTGAGTATCACAATATATGTTATATACATTATCCCTATCAACCAAATTGTTTTTTAAAGGTACAGAATAAAGGAAGGATTGCATGGTACCCTACTTTCCATTTTACCCTATTATGTACATAAGAGGGTTAAAATTGAAATAGCCAAAGTCCATTCTTCTTCAGGCTGGTCATGCTAAGTATTCATAGTAATGTTTCCAGTGACTCAGAAAATTCTGTCTCTTTGGACATATAACCAATAAGATAGAGTACATAAATTGTCACCTCTGGTTCATACCTTTCATTCTCTCTGCTTTTGCCCCATTTTGCCAGTTACCTGTTTTTAGTGTTTGATAATGTTTAATAAATATATCTCAAACTATTTTTTAAATTTATTTTTGCTATCTGGGTCTATGTCTATGCTTGCTCTTATTTGGATATAAGGAGTGACTGGGAGTATGTTGGATGCAAATTAAAATAGAATTATCCATAGTAATTTTCCAACAATATTTACTGAAATACCAATATACAGCACTCCAGGTGCAGAATGGATTCTCATCAGTGATCTCAGGTATCAAAGAGCATTTTAGGTATTTGAAAACATTTCAGTGTTAGGCTGATATGATGCGTACATTATTTGCAAAATGTCAACCTCATGTGATGCAGAAGAAAAAAAATAATAAATATCTTTCTGGTTGCTGTATGACAAAAATTGTAAGGATCTCTGACAAGTTATTAGAAATCACTATTACAGCATCTAAGGTAATCCTGTTGCATCCAGGTCTAATGAAGTCCACAGGTTCCTAATGAAGGCATTTCTCTGGCTTCATGTTGTTAAGTTTCAAACATGGTATCCAATGCATAGGGAATGGAAACTATAGTAGATGGAATAAATAGGTTGTAGATGGACAACTGCTGAACAGGAGTTAAGTTCATAAGGGCCAGGCAAAATAGTTCAAGATGATATTAGAACAGTGCTCATTGTTAAAGAAGGAGTATTTTAACGGAGAATAAAAGAGAAGAGCAATGTCTCTCAGAAAAATCCTCCTGTTTAATAATACAGCACATAGTCTGTCCACAAAGAAGGGCTATAAACTTAAATGCTCATGAAAACCAGACCATATAATGACCACAACTTTGTACAAACAGAAGCAAACTGTACTCTTTGCTATTGTGCTTAATGCTAGTTGGATTCAATGGTTAATTGATTTATAGATGAATTAGATTAAATATTGAAACCAGATCATCAAACAGCAGTTCGGGATGTAAAGTTATAACTACCATGGAGAGATCATGACTGAAGCAAAATAGTCCATTAATTCTGTGATAAGAACAATTCCTGCTGATGTTCTAAAGTTCTAGTTCCCTGGGTCCTTTTCTGGTTATTCTGAAGGCTACTACACAAATTAAAATAGCTTTATAATAATCTTTTTAAATAGTTGGCACATTGTGTAAAAACAGTAATAATATTTATGAACAAACATATGGCTTGAAAATCCCACCTTCAGTACAACTGGGTGCAGACATCACTTGCCGAACACTTTTTAAATCAGAATTGTATATATCCCTGGGCCACCTGCAGCTAGTAATCTCCCCCTCCTTTTTTTTGGACCTCTAGTGCTCCAGATATTGCTTCAGCAATGTTTGACAGCAACTGCCAAGAAGCAGTGTTGTAATGCTTGCTATTTTTCCAAATAATATTAAAAACAAAAGGGTATAAATCTTATTTCAGTCATTAAACCAAACCCAAAGAAAATAATAATATATCTCTCCAAAAAGTGGATAATCCCAGAAAGTTTGGTTTGAAATTTAGATGGCAATCCCTGTCCATCTAAATGAAAAAAGGTAGCTTCTTGATGCCAAAACATTTCCATCCCGATCTAAATTACTACATTTGCCACTGTATATAACAGAACATATCATATTATTATTTTAGAAAAATATTATTCCACCTTTTACTCTCCCAAAGAATTTCAAAATACTTAAAATAATACATTCTTATAATGTAGTATAAATGCATTAAGATAAAGAGGCAATCTCTAAATGAC